AGCTATAGGCCCCTTGCAGTTCGTGGGAATGCAGTTCCAACTGGAGGACAAAACAATGGATTCTAGTTTCCAAGAGGGCAAACATTTGTTGTTTTGTCCTCCAGATGAAGCTGATTGGAGAAATATTAGGCTTTGTATTATTTATATATTTCAACACAATGATTTGTATCTAAGTCTGTGAAAAAAGAAGAAAACAAACAAACTATAGACCACTGCAAACCTATTGAGAGCTTCATAAATACATAACTCGGAGATCGATCTGATTTAAAAACATAAACGGCAATAATAATGTTCATCGTATCGCTGGTCGTTTTAGAAATAACTATTAGTAGTAGTACTATCATTAGTATTTTCACAAACATAAGCTATTTCAAACTATTTCCATAGTCGCGTAAAGTTATCGTTTAGCAGCATGATTGTGATATCAAATATATCTTTTGAATYCAAGCTGTTTCTGTACTACAGAATCGTAGTATATTGTGTTCTATACGCACGGATCTCTTTTGAACGGATTGCTAGTGGCGAATAAAAGCATTTATTACATGGTTTTGATGCTAAAAGAGATCGCATAAAAGAGATCGCTAAAATAAATTCACTACAAAACTCTTCGAAGCAAAAGAGGGTCCCCTAGACCACGTTGCATGGGAGGGAATTACCGGCCCCAAGACCATTCACACGCCGCCGCGCACATGATAACCCCTAGCTTTGGCCAAGCTGCTACACAGTTTATAAAACATGGCTTTTAAGTGACAACAGGATCGTCTAATCTTCAATGTGGGATAACTTTGAACTTCCGTCCACTGTGCAAGCATGCGCACGCATACTTCCTAACAAAAGATTTAATTAAAATACCACTTTCTTTAGATGCTTTCTTAAATGCGCAGGTCCTCAGAGGATTTGTCTAAATGTGACGTCGTACTACTCATGTTACTAGCTTCCGGTCACAGAGACTTCTCTACCGCGTGTAAACTGCAATATAATCGCTTCGTAATTCTAGTTCTTTATACTGTACTAAGACAGAAAAGCAATTCACCATGAATGGTACCGACAAAACTTCGAGATACCACCCAAAACAACGTTGACCGTCAATTCAGTAGAATACAGTGGTTACACTCTATGGATTGTTGGTGTTGCAGAACAAATAAACGCATCATTTCATCCAAATTTATTTTTAATGAGCCGAATTTGGCGTTTACGCTTCGCTGTAAGAGGAATATGTGATAACATTTTTATATTTGCATACATGTGATATCAAAGAGGCAAGATTTTGCTGTAACTCGGAGNTTTCTGAAATGAGGACGGTGAATGCAAAAATTATAGTATCGTTGGTCTTTGCCTAGTTTAGTTCTAAAAGAATCTTTTTGTAGCTGTATAACACAAACATCTATGACGTATTTCTGGTTACGCGCACTCATCACCTGTTTCTGGTCAGGAATAGCTTGGAATTCCTATTGGATAATGCGAGTTKTTAGCTTCCGGTAAAAGACACAAAGGAATCGCAGATCAACTTTATCGCCTCCGTTTRAAATGTCTCTAAGTACTTCTTGTTGTATATGCAACAAATCGTTTTGTAATACGCTAGCTTTAGAAAAGCATTCTTTGGAAAAACACGGAAAAGTATCACAAAATCAAAACAACTTCTTCGAAGTATCGAGTGAGACTCCTGTGGTATTGCCATCTCCACAGCAGCTCAAGGACAACAAGTACCAAGATTACCTGGCTTGGCTGTCATGCTTAACAGAGAGAGTGAATAGCACTCATCATCCCAAATGTCCAGGTATTATAATAGTTCAAAACCATATTTGACAATATTATGCTTTTGCTGTGTTCTCTTTTCCTGTAGTTTTCTAATGTTATGCTCGGAACTAAGCCACAATATGTATATGAATATGAATATTTATAGACYAAACAGACCACCCAATTTAGTGATTGTTTTCTTACTCTTCTTTTGCCTTCTTTCTCGATTTGCAATGTCATGATAATCAAGGAATCAAGGCAAAATACCGCTAAATGACCTYGTGTCAGATTTCATTTAGGATAAACAATCCTAACATGTCACATCCCATACGCAGTCAAGATAAAGCAGTAAATGTGTTTCTTCGTTTATTCCTATCTTTAGCTCGGTGGGTTCGAATYGACGTAAATCAAACTCCAGTGGATTATGCACGACATATCTTTTGGAAAATGGGTTGTAAAGTCCACAGTGTGCGGAAAATGCCTCACATGAAGCAMCCAATGATGGTTCATACTTCAGTCAGATACTCGTACAAGACATTCGATGAAAATGTATTTCTGAGTTTGTTGAAGGAACAAAAAGATCTCGAAATATGCATGAAGGCAGCCTTTTCCAACACTGGTCAGATCATCGATGTTGATCCTTATGATGAGGATGACCCAATGAAAGCACTTCAGGCCGCTTCAAAAAGAGCTCGACAGCCAGCCAGTAAAGTCCTAAAGCCTACATTAAGGAGTTGTATAGTTATTGGCGAGGGAGAGGGACGACGCACAAGGGAGTTAGAGGTGCAGTGGTGGCCCAAACTATATAAAACCTCGTTTGGGAAGCTATCTTTGCGTTTTTTTGTTAACAAAATACATTTTTAAATAGAGATTTGATACAGTTACGTRCCAATGGAGTACTCGAATTACTCACTTATAAATGACTGAACCGTCGCTTATACTATAAACATTTTAATTATAATTACTAGG